CAACAGGCTCAGCTTCGTTAATTAAGGAATAAGATGATGCCGTCCACACACCCACGCGCCCAAGTGTGGGAGGATGGCCATCTCGCTTACGCGGAAGATCACGCCCAAATAGATTACTACCTCAGTTTTGCCCTCGGGCAAATTCGTGAGAGAGGCTATGACTTGGGCAGGGGTAGGGTCCGTCCCGGAAGCGCGTGTAGGGAATGTGTAATATAACAATTTGTAAATATAACAATTTGTATAAATAGATAGTAATGATGGCTCGAATCGTGGTTTACTTGGTGGCATCCCCACACCTATATACCTGTATTTTGTAAAATATAATTCCGGGGAATGGCGAGGCGGCTTATCACGGACGATGAATCAAGTTAAAATTCCTGTTTTGGGCAATTTTAGCGCTTCATAAAATATAATAATAATAATAATAATAATAATAATAATAATAATAATAATAATAATAATAATAATAATAATAATAATAATAATAATAATAATAATAGTACTGTCGTACTCCAGATGTGAATGCTTAACTCACGAACTCCAGTTTAACACATTGGAAAAAAATTTCAACACTCGTGTACCTTCCTACTTATGAGAAGGTTGGTATTATTTACAGAGTGGGTAGGTGCCATTTTGCCACTTTTAATATTATTATTTAACATTAATGTATTACTTTGCCTTAGTGGGGGGTGAGGTAGGGTACTTGGCCCGGGTAGCACGCATGGTACACAAAGGCAGTACTCAAGGTCACCACTTTTTCATCTTTTAGGCTCCCATCACTCCCTCACACCTTCATTATACACTCCCTGAGAGCAGAGTTACATGGTGGTGGCTTCAGCAGGCTGCCTCTCACGGATGCTCTCACCGGAAACGCTCCCGGGCGCTCCATCTTCATAGACAAATTTCTGGTGTTTATTCACACTGAAGCTGCATGCATGATCACTAGTTAACCGGATGACGTGTGTTACCTTGGGGGCGCCAGTGGCCTTGTGGTATGTTTGGTGTAGGTGTATTTTAGTGCACAGGCAGAATGTGTGCCCAGGGATGTGGTGTTCATGCACTGTGTAATGTGCAGATTAAATACTACACATTTTGATATCCCGGAACTGAGCGTGGGCTAGAATAAATTTATGTTGTATAAACTTATTACAATCTGTTTAATGTGGCCTAGTAGTCTCTTATATTAATGGAACTTTAGTACTATTTTATGTCAAGTGTCGACTTCTTGCAGTTAAAGTGTAGCCTGGTTGCAGTTGAAGTTTAGTATAACCTAATAACATTTTAATGTGCGCATTAAAATTGCTCAAGCTTTTTTATGGGTTGTTCGTGTGGCTGAGAGGGAGGAAAGGGTGTTTGAGGGTCACGAACTTGAGTCTACAGGTTGCAGCTGCACCAGGTACACCAACATGACTATCACCACCATCCTGAAGGCGAGAGATGACTGGGTTGTGATAGATCAGCTGACCAGGGATATACCAGCTGGCTAGAGATACATCAGCTGGCTACGGCGATAGTTTACTAAATATCCCCACCCTCGGAGATATGAACCTCCAGGCCAGAGATTTAAAGGTCGAGAACTTACCAGCTATGAAATAATGTTAACATCATTGTATTAATTGGGAAGCTCTAAACCGTAAGTTATACAACGCCTGGGAATGGAAGATAGTCTGATTTGAGTTAATGAAGGGAGAAAAAATATTTTCCATTCCTTGAATCGACAGCCCTTCACCATTGCATTGAACTCTGTCACGCGGCTTTATTACCGAATTCCTGGCGTATATACTCTCTTTTTTAAATATTCAATACTGTCATAAATGCTCCCCATCCCTTAAACAACCCATTCCTAAAGAAATATATATATGTGACTAAATGTAAGTAATAAAACCTGTGACGAAATATTCACAACAGTTAATCTAAAAGATTAAAAGATCGCATATAAATCATTAGCATAGTCAATAAACTTGACATACTAAAGCATAAAGATCTATTTAAAGCATAGAGATTCAAAAGGCATAACAACAGCATAAAACCCGAGGCAGGAGGTGCAGCACAAATGAGTATAAAGTATATTTTTCAGAGTTATAGAGCTGGACTAGCTTACAAACTCAAGCTTTAAGTGCAAAAATAAACTCTGTCCTTAAAGGCATGGCAGGAAAAATATTTTACATATATGGTATTTTTCAAAGATTGTTGCCAATGGCACCGTGATACTGTTCTTATGATGGACAGTGCCATACCACTGTCAAAGATCACTTATTACTTTTATGATGTTATCTAATTTATTTTCTAAATTTTGAAATAGATTTGCACTCTCATAGAGTTGATGCGATTACCAACTCAATTTATAACTGAAGATAAGTACCACATTCCCTAAACATTCACAGTGTTCGGAGGATTTTTCTCCCAGTGACTGGGTTCTCCTCAGCACAATGAACAAACGATTACATCCGTCTAACATAAATAAATTTTCATTTCTCTTTTAATACTTTTTCCTGTTACCCGGGAGAGGCCTGCCAAAAGGATGTCAGGATACACGAAGGCATCCTCGTTAATGTTATCACTAAAATATTTTAACAAAGCTAATTAGCTTGGTTAACTACAACTATTGCCCTCAAGAGTCACTTTAAAAAATAACACATCAGGCAATGGGAGACAGCAAGATAGACTTCGTAAATAAGCATAAAATCAGCAACCAGACCGAGCTATTGAGATGGCTTAGTGTCACATGGGCGGCTGAATCCTAGTTGGCAGCCCACTCAGCAGCCGCTCGTGTGTGGTACACACCCTGATTACGTCCAAGATCCGGCCCTGTGTATGATATTTATTCTATAAATGAATCACACACACACACACACACACACACACACACACACACACACACACACACACACACACACACACACACACACACACAGCATATTTGCACTTGCTTTGTAGTGATCGACTAGCCCCGACTTTCGCCAGGGCGCCTCACTCCCAGCACTTGTTATGCGTATTAAGATACAGAAGAAAACTGAGCGTGTGGAGACAGTCTTGCGAACTGAAGAGCATATAGTATATTGTATATATTATACATGTATAAACAAGAATTTCTTGGAAGGAGACGCACCGTCTATTTTTTCACGACTAATATCAGAGTAACTCTTCCATCATTAGGTATTCTGTTAAGCAGGAAAATAAATAAGAAACTTAATGCACTCTAAAATTGTCCAAACAAAATATGAAAGTTAAAAGAAAGCCCAAAAACTAAATTCAAAGTAACTTAACCATCCATTCACTGTGACATAGTGAAGGTTTGCCTCTAGCAGCTTATGAGGTCAACTTTCACCTGCTGCTCCAATTCACTTAGCTGTTATATGTACCTGGATGATTATTGACTGTTATGGAGTGGCATCCTGGAGAGTAACAGTATACTCATGATAGAACTGGGGTTTAAAATGAACTCGGGTAGAATTACACCTCTCACTCAGCCTGCACATTCATTTGTGAAAAAAAAAAATTATGCCCAAGTTTCCATAATCCTTCTCTTCTTATTTACTTAGCAGTAACTAGGTACATGAGTGTTAGTCGGCAATTTTGAGTCGCATCCAAAAAGTCCTCTTTTTCTTATATGCTCCTCCGAAGAGCTCCCTCTCCTCTTCCTGGATCTACTTAAGTTTACATTCTGGAGAAGAGTTGGTAAGTACAGTTTAATCTCACCAGTGACTGTTGGGTCACCACAGTTGATATTCAGTGCCCACACATGAGTTTCCAGGATGAAATATTATTAATACGTACGTACAAGAGCTTTGTCATTCCGACCATGAGTTCTAGTAGACAAGATCCCTTTTCCATATGGTCCTGATGCAACCGAAGAACTTATCAGGGCCATACTACAGGCGGTTGAAACCGCAATCCTGCACAAACCAAGCGACATGTGTAGAAGGAGCTAATTATTGTACAATGATGTGCGTGAGCAAAAAGACCGAGTCATTAAGTCACCGTATATTGCACAGACGACATCCAACACAAGTAAATAGGTCCTTACTGAGAAAAATGGTGAATCGTATACATCACATCTCCAGTTAAGGTGGATAGAAGACCTGAATGCTGCTCCCCGTTTGATGAACTTACCTTTGTGTCTGAAATTTGGTACTGGTTCAAATAAGCCACTGGCAAGAGGCCGGTGAAAACCTAACCCACACAAAACCCTTGTATGATGCTGTAAGACTTGTGGAAATCGTTAACTTCGAATTAACATCAGAATTCTTTCTCAGGATACCAAAGATCTGTAGTTAGAAAGCCTGCTATATTAACAAGGAGAGATCAGAATCACATATGGACAGTTAACATGACAGATGCTTTACTCACTATACAAGATTATTATTATATTCACAATCACAATAGAAGAACTAAATACAGCCATCAAACAGAGAAGTAACACTGCACTTGGCACTGATGGAATCACTCCATGGTGTAACACACTGCTGCACAAGAAGAGGAAACAATCTTTACTTTGATCAAAACCTTTAAAACAGCCAAAATCACATCTAGCCTGAAACCAAAAGAGCCCCGCTGAAGTGACCATTTGTTGTATTTCATTCTTTCACATGAGTTAGTCTGTGCCATTATATATATAATGGCGGTACCTCCCTATATGTATTATATATATATATATATATATATATATATATATATATATATATATATATATATATATATATATATATATATATATATATATATAGGGAGATATATAACTGAGGATGCAAAATAACAGCATTTGAAAAAAATTTGTACCGTAATATCCTGTAGATTGGTTGATGATGTTTTAATATATTTTGGAAAAACCCTTGAGCTGCCATGGACCAGGATGCATCCCCTCCGTCATGCATTGTTGGCTGTCCCTATGTGAAGCCTCTTACTTGACCCACGACCCGAGGAGGGACACACTAGCTCTCTCTCTCTCTCTCTCTCTCTCTCTCTCTCTCTCCACTTGTCTGTCTTCATGCAATATTTTATCAGAAAAATGCAATTTGTTTAAGCAGGTAAGTAATAAAATTATATTTTTTATCAGTCCAGAGACATGCATATGTTTAATTTTTTTTCCAAGAGGAAGGAGACATAACGACTCCAATTTACATTCTTATTAATTTAGTCTATCATCATGCCTTTAAAGGCTTAGTTTTGTCCACCTCCAGGATGACTTAACTAACACTTGTGCAAGGTGAAACTCAGACTCCTACTACTAATACTGCTTCTAATACTTCGAGTAATACTTCAGATATTATTTCTACTAGTACAGCTGTTATTACTGCTAATAGCATATAGACTTTACTAGTGTTAGTACAACTATAGCTATTGCCAGTGTTAGTATTAATATAGGTGTTATTAAAAGTACTGCTACAGCTATTACAACTGCAAGTACCATGACAATTGACACTATTATAGATATTATTTTTGCTGCTGCTACTGTACTATTACTGCTGCTTCTATTATCGTTATTACTGCTGCTTCTATTATCGTTATTACTGCTATTGGCATGTTTATTTCTGTTACAGATTAAAGTAAATTTTTAGAGTGAAGATGCTGAGAAACACATATTTTTTGTATGTACAATGTTAAAAAGTTGACTTTCTCTCTGTTTTCTCAAACTGAATGGGAATGAAAACAAATCTATTGGGAATTTAAAACATGACTATAGAAAACGTCAGTAATTTATTAGCTTAACATTTTAGCAGCCTACAACAGAGTTAAATAACTGTAGTCTTGAATACATTAATGGAGTACCTTCAAGAAGGCACTGCATGGTGCACCCAACGTTGTAAATATCTACAAGAATACTGGTTAGTATATGCTTCTTTGGTGCTTATGTGAGGGGCTCTTTAAGATAACTGGCAAACACCTGAAGCAGCACCTTAATTAATATGACTGGCTCTCGGGTGTTCCCGTGAAGCAGTTCCTTAATTAAGGTGAATGGCATATAAGTGTTCGCGAGGAGCAGCACCTTAAGATGATTGATCAACCATTGTGTTTAGCTAAATGGGGTTGCGTAGGTCGAATCTCGGGCAACAGGTGCTGCACTGAGATTCTTCTGTTGTGTCTGGCCAAACAGGCCCCTCCTTAGTGAGTTTATTCAGGTATACACACATACAGTTACATAGATTATCATACATAGCAGCATATGTGTAGAACAATAAACATGGGGATCCATACCTCCCTTAAACTAGCAGTAATCTCCAATTCATGCTGCAAAGGAAAACATCCATTGACTGAGGTTCGAGCCTTCACCACTACGGTTGAATAAACCAAAAGGGTTCAGTTCTTTGCATAAATATGATTGCTACAACAAATAAGTCTATATCATGCGAATGATCTGACATGTGTGTGTGTGTGTGTGTGTACTCACCTATTTGTGGTTGCAGGGGTCGAGACTCAGCTCCTGGCCCCGCCTCTTCACTGAGTGCTACTAAGTCCTCTCTCTCCCTGCTTCATGAGCTTTATCATACCTCATCTTAAAGCTATGTATGGTTCCTGCCTCCACTACCTCACTTGCTAGGCTATTCCACTTCCTGACTACCCTATGACTGGAGAAATACTTCCTAATATCCCTTTGATTCATCTGGGTCTTCAATTTCCAGTTGTGACCCCTTGTTTCTGTGTCCCCTCTCTGAAACATCCTGTCTCTGTCCACCTTGTCTATTCCACGCAGCATTTTGTATGTCGTTATCATGTCTTCCCTAAACCCCCTGTCCTCCAGTGTCGTCAGGCCAATTTCCCTTAACTTTCTTCCTAGGACATTCCCCTAAGCTCTGGAACTAACCTTGTCGCAAACCTTTGCACTTTCTCTAATTTCTTGACGTGCTTGAGCAAGTGTGGGTTCCAAACAGGTGCTGCATACTCCAGTATGGGCCTGACGTACACGGTGTACATTGTCTTGAACGATTCCTTACTTAGGTATCGGAACGCTGTTCTCAGGTTTGTGTGTGTATGTGTGTGTGTGTCTGTCTGTCTGTGTGTTTGTGTGTCTGTGTGTGAGTGAGTGTTGCGGCTGCTATTCATGTTCTTAGATCAACAACTAGGGTGGTAGTTTTGAAATCTGAATAGCACTTAGACCTTCCAGATCATTCAGTGTTCCTCCTAACAAAAGATAAATATAGCATACCAGAGAAAAAAGACAAAGAAAAATTAAAAATAAAACAAGTAGCACAGATAAAACACATTACGCAAATAAATACTATCATACCAAGTTAAATAACTAGCTTCAGTTAATAACCCCAGCAAATTACTATTGTCACAATATTTTCCTAAAAGTTACCAGAGATCTCTTCTAGCACCTCGGTAATTAAGAAGACCTAAGTGGTGGACTTGTGTTCTACAAGCTATACAGAGGAGCACCTGCGAACTGGTGGCTATGGGTGAGATGTATGTCTGATTTTCAAGTGGCTGTACCCTGTATATTTTGTTGCATGTTTGTAGGGGCCACCGGGCCTGCCACTTTTCAAGGACGGAGAACAAGAGTAGATGTAAAGAGACCTCAGTAGATACCCAATCTACAACTTCCCCAGAGGAACTAGAGGAGTAGATGCGTGGAGACCTCAGTAGAGACCTGGTCTACAGATGTGTTCTCCTGAACACCTGTCAAAGCAGCATTTTTCTCCATGCTCACAAAAGTAGTCATCAGTGCAGGTCTTCAGCTCAGGATCTATGAAAGCCGGACATGTTCGACGCTGCGGTAGACACTTTCCTGTGAGGAAGGAAAAAAATGAGAAAACGATTCGAAGCAGATCAACAGATTAAAATTAAGATTAACAGATTAAGAAATATTCTACTAATTATTTTTAATTAACATACTATTTCTCGTTTACCAGAAAAAAAAGGAATTGCAGCCTATCCCTAAATATTTGTCGGACAAACCACTGAGACATACACAGAGATGTGTATATCTCAGTTCATATACACAGTGGAGTGTGTGCGTGTCTGTATCAGTTATATATGCAGAGGGATGTATATTTCACAGTATATATACTCTGAGTATATTTTACTCTGCATTTTAGGGATTCAATTATTCTTGATTAGTTGTGTTTAGGCTTCATACATCTTTAATGGACCTCAGGTAGTCGATAGACTTTAAACGTAACACCATCCAATTCTCTATCAGCTACTATCTATAAATCTCCATTTGATACGTCATATCACGCTGTAAGGCAAGATAAAATATCCAGGTCAAAAATCATTTATGTCCTCCTGCAGCTCTTACACCTTCCATATTAAAATATATTCTGTACTAGAGCTATATTTTCGTAGTTTGACTTCTGCTTAATAATGTCCTGAAGTGAAAATGGATCCACAAATTGAAAATACAGTTAGGTGACTTGCGACTTGGTAATGTTCCAGGACGGATCGAGATGTAGTTTATTCCCATTTTCAGTGTGTAGGTTAGTTGAGAATTTGTGTTGGTATTTTCTACATACTACTGGAACACACTGATGGTCATGATTTCACTTGCAGTGAATACAAATGTATCACGGTGAAAGTTATGGCTTCACCTGCACAGGGTACAAATATATGACATGAAAAGTCATGATTTCATCTGCGTTGAGTACAAATGTACCACAGGGAGTTCTGCAGTGAGCGCTGATCTTCACCTGTGCCGAGTAAAACTAGTACTCATAGTCTAGAACAAATAAACACAAGGAACTAGTACTAGCCTCTGGGTAAGGCTACTCACCAACGTGACCACAACAGTACACCCGTCCTTCATCTGTCCTGCACCAGTAGTCGCAAAAATTCGTCCTGGAAAACATTACAGAAACGACTGAAGTCTAGAATATGTGCGAGGGACATGAAATATTTATATACCCTATTCATCAATATCAGTCATCCTTTATAGCGTATGCGAATTTTCAGACGACGTTGTGTGTATATTGAAAGTCATAATCATGCCAGAACGCTTGAAATAAAAGGACGCTCTTGGTATGCTAGGACCTGATCAGGCAAAAGATTTGTCTCAGAAAGTTCGACACGAGGTAGGGGATGGTATATTAGCTACAGCTGAAATAAAGCTCTCTGAAATAATAAACTTTTTCGATGAAAAATCGAAAAGGAGATTTGGATGAAGTTTTTATTAAGTAGCAAGACAAATTTTCTGTTTCATAACACGAAAAACAAACCTTCATTTGGACAACGTTTCGTTCTAAGAGCTTTATAAAATCAAGACGCCGGGAAAGTTCTACTTTGAGAGGGAAACAGTATACAAATAAAAGTTTATTCTTCATACTTGTCTTTGTATACACTTTGTGCTACGCCTTGCAACCATTTTATTCACCTGTAACACAGACGGACCAGCCATTCAGTGGTCAACGTGAGTCTCTATAAAGCATATGAAGATCAGGTCATGGTAAACCTTAACAGCACTTTGCCCTTCATTCCAGCTGAGAGGACTCAACCCCCGTAGCTACTACACCATTAAGCATACAAGACAATCCGGGCATTTTACTCCCAGTGCCTCTATCACATGTTTTCCTATTGCTTATGGATAGTTTATAGTTATTCCTCTTCCCAGAGTGGGACGACAAACAACTGATTAGTCAATAACTTGTGTTAATCCACCACTGTGGCCAGTAACAGCTGTGTGTCTGCTTTGTGCTTAGCGGACAGAGGATCAAGCCTCTGTCATTCCTTGAGCTGAGTGATCTACACAGATTAAGCGGTTCGATAAGTAAATAAACATAAACTGAATAAATAACATTTTCTTTTCCCCTTTTGTTTCTCTGCGCCTTTTTTTCCTCTCATTCCTTTACTTTTCTCTCTTCCAAATGGTTCGAACTTACCTTTTCACACGCAGAAGTGGCTGGTCAGTAACCATTGTTACACTGCCGCTCACACCGCCCGCCAGCACTACCACCAGCATCGCCACGCCCACATATACGCCTAAATGCACTGCGGGAACAAATGTTTTGTTAACAGTGGCATAAGACAGAACACAAGAATGATCGAGTGGATGAGTTGAAGGAAGCAGTGGAGGATGGAGACCCAGCAATGTCATCATACATATCTTTCCTGTACCTAACAATGGATCCAAATTTCATACTGCCGAATATACTAAAGAAACGACACTTTGGAGGACAAACTTTATTGTTCTCAACGTTTGTCTCTTCTTAACTATTCACAATATGTGTCGAGCGTTTACGCAGTCTCACGATAACTCCTGCTATTACACTCTGTAAGGAATCTTCTGTACAATAATAATCTTTGATGCACATCACGCACAGTAGGTTCCAAGACACAAAATTTATTATGACCACTGTGTGTACGTGTGCTCACCTATATGTGGTTGCAGGGGTCGATTCACAGCTCCTGGCCCCATGTGTGTGTGTGTGTGTGTGTGTGTGTGTGTGTGTGTGTGTGTGTGTGTGTGTGTGTGTGTGTGTTTACCTTGTCTGCAACTGTCTTCATTCTTCTTTTCAATGTCTTCAGTGTATTTAAATTTCAATAAACTATCATTTGAGTCAGATGAGTACTGTTTTATATTATCTTATATTACTTAAATTTTAGACCTGACAGGAGAATAGTTTCTGTGAATAACTGAAAATTGACAAATAAAAAAATCTTTTAAAATTTAGCTGTTTTCCTTAAGGGGGGATCATCAGGTGATCCAGAAAGGAATCTTCTGGTGATCCAGAGGTGGGATCTTCTGGTGATCTAGAGGTGAGATCTTCAGGTGATCCAGAGGGAATCTTATGGTGATCCCGAGGTGGGATCTTCTGGTGATCTAGAGGGGGATCTTCAGGTGACCCAGAGGGGATTTTCAGGTAATCCAGACTCCAAAGGGGGAATCTTCAGGTAATCCAGACTCCAAAGGGGGGATCTTCGGGTGATCCAGAGGGGGCTCTTCAGGTGATCCAGAGGGGGCTCTTCAGGTGATCCCGAAATCGGATTCCATTATCAAATTACAATTGGAGAATACCATCAGATACAGTACCAACGTTGTGTTCGTGTTGTAAACATGTTAAGCGGAACTCTTGTTATTCACATCTATAATGCCGGTACAAGTCAAGTTCCAGGTGCAGATACAGGTACTGGTGCAGGTACAAGTACTGGTCCAGGTACAGATACTGGTGCAGGTACAAGTACTGGTACAGTAATTACACTTGTAATTACTGTACCAGTACTGGTACGTTTAAGTTGTACGAGAAAGTTCTGTACAACTTAAACAGAAACAATTGGATACTGTCAACTTTTTCCTACACTACTGCTACTATTACTTCTGTTCCCGAATTCACTTGCATAATTCAGTCTCATAAACGAATATAGGTTACACGAAGTTTGTATTTAATAAACTAAGCAGCTTTTACAACTAACACACTGCCTGGGATCAGAATGAGTATTACTATTATTATTATTATTATTATTATTATTATTATTATTATTATTATTATTATTATTATTATTATTATTAGTAGTAGTAGTAGTAGTAGTAGTAGTAAAAGTAGTAGTAAAAGTAGTAGTATATGCCCATTATCCTTTAAAATTATAAGTTTACAAACACTATGCAAATGCATATAGTATACACACACAGAACGTTTCTGTAAAGTAGGGAGGGCGTGAGTTGTGATCCGCGCATGCGAATAATTTCAAGAAGAAAGAAAAAGAACACAGCACCAGTGGTCTCAGTAACAGGAGACAAACATTTAGCAGCCTGCGGGAAGCCAGGGTCACGAATGCACACTCCCCTTCATGTGAGACCAACCGAACGACCGCGTACAAACACAATGTACTTCGAGTACAACCGTTTACGGATGCACTTTGTCCTGTCTCTGTAACCGCCTACCCGCGCACTCACTCGTAGACACAACCGATGTACTCTGCACTCAAGATTCACGTTCTACTTGTACCACACGAGGGTCGAACAGTCTGCTGAGACGTGGTTGCGATCTCGAGGTAGAGTGTGTGTTGGCTTTCTACACCTCCGACGCTCGGCCATAGCCCCGAACGGCGGAAGGAGTTCCCCGTCTCTTGCCATATGGTGAGAATAATGTAACCACCCACTGTGCTCTAGCGGGTCACTTTCCTAATGAAACTTTCTCTCCCACCGACTTGATGAAGGATTTGTGGGCTGTTGATTTATTTGTCAAGGAAAATTGCCTGACACGGGCCTTTGCGGTAAGATGACACATTCAGTAGCAGAGGGACAGGAGGAGGCTTGCAACTGATGATGTTGTATGCTCTATTGCAGCCCACGGCAGCAACGATCCCTGGTTTATTTGCGGTGGACTCAGTGGTATGAATGATATGTGAGAGTGTGTATGTGAGCATCATATAGAACAGCAGGGTTTTGGCAGCTGTTTGTCATTACTGTTGACATGCGGACTCGAGTGTCGCAAGACTACTTAAGTTATCATAAGTAGTCTTCGTTACTTCATTTTCCACACTTTCTTACCTCTAGCTATGAGATATTTACAAAATTAAATATAATATACTAAATGTAAATCAAGTACGTGCAGCTGCAGATATAGGTGAATGGACAGAGTCAAAGATTTTGACAATTCAGTTGCAGCTACAAGTGCATAAGGTGTTGATACAAACACACTTTAAGACATAGGTTAAGTCTTGACAGCAGGATAAAAGGAAGATTGTAGCCAAGATATTTATAAAGCTGTAGAGGAAAGACAACAAGACAAGCTTAAAAGTGTGTCACTTCTGAGGCACTCTTACTTAGTACACAAAGAGGTACACGATGCGTCCCATATTCTGTCTCCATGCTTGGTGTTACTAAAGCTTTGTGAACTAAGTTAGCAGAGACAGAGCATCGAGGCAGAGAATCAAAGAAGAGAGAGAAGGGTTAAAGAAACTGGAATCCTCCAGAGAGAAAGACTTCCGACGATTTTCAGAAGAAAACACATTATTAATGAAAGATAGGCCATTGTTAAGCAACATTTTATGCGTGAAACTAGTGTGTTAGAGTTGGAAGATAATACACACTTCTTTTGGAAAGCTGCCGAAGGAGACTGATGGTGAATTCCTACAGAAGATTCCCTATCATGGGTTGGAGGTGGAAGGGTAAGAAAAAGAACGTGGAAAGCAGATAAGCGGTCTTCTACTGATGAGAAATTAAAAGTCTGAAATGCTCTACGAGTGCCCAGTCTGAAAGTGACAACAGGCAATAAATACATCACCCAGAAATCCTTCGCACCTTGAGTTGTCAATCATGAATCAACATTGTGGCAAAGGAATGACTGAAGGGAACGTAAAGGAAGGGAAACTGAGGTGTAAATTGTGTATATATTATGTAATGTGTGTATCTGAAGAAGTGCGTGAGGGGAGACTAACAGTGGACATCAATCCAAATATGTGTGTAGGCAGAAGTAAAGATTGTTCAAGGTAGTGTGGAATAAGCCAGTCAGCAGGACCAGCCTCCTCAGCTTAAAAATAAATTATATTCGATTCTCTACTCACTGTTCAACAGTATTGTTTCTTGTGTGTGTGACCCTTGCTCGAAAAGCCTGTAATATGCTGCTACAAATATCTTACACCTGCTTATATACTCTTAAATTATCCTCACCCTCCCCCCCTCTTTCCCCAATCTCGTAGCTTTCTCCACCCTCCCTCCCTTTAGAGAGTGACTTTCTCTCTTTCCCAGCTCCCTAGGATTTCTCTACCATATTCTCTCCCTGTCTTTTTAATCTCATCTTAACTCACTACTGTTGCACCCATATATTTTTCTTATAGAAATCTCAAAAACAAACAGGGTTCATGTATATGGTTAGTTATATGCTATACTACATTCCTCTTAGTGGAAGATGAGAGTTTACATTAACATTATATTTGTTTACTGAGACACTCTGGCTCAAGTTCCACTCAAGCAGCAGTAAGCACAAACATTGCTACTAAATTAATGAGCAAAACAAAATGACACTGGGTTGCTATAGGCCGCTACTGATGCCAGAAAATCACCTATGATATCCTCGACGTTATTCGCATACATTTTAAGCAAACTGAAACTTTTAAACATATTTTGCAAAATAACAAATTATGAAGGAGGAATCATGTTCGCACTACCTCTGACAAGTGCCTGATCAACCAGGCTTTGCTGTGTATGTGAGCCAACAGGCCGCTAATAGCAACAGCCTGATTGACCAGGCAAGCAACAGAAAAGCTTGGCCCTAGGCCGGGCTCCGGGAGCAGGAAAGCACTTGAAACCGGTCACGGGTATGTGATGGCAGAAGTAGACCTGATTCCTCTTCGACTATCTCAAAAGTGGTGGTGGTATTTTGTACGTCTGGTTAAATAGTAAATTTTAATCGTGAAGTGTGTTTTAATCATGTGACCAGCTCAGTGGGATGTGTTTTAATCATGTGACCAGCTCAGTGGGATGTGTTTTAATCATGTGACCAGCTCAGTGGGATGTGTTTTAATCATGTGACCAGCTCAGTGGGATGTGTTTTAATCATGTGACCAGCTCGGTGGGATGTGTTTTAATCATGTGACCAGCTCAGTGGGATGTGTTTTAATCATGTGACCAGCTCGGTGGGATGTGTTTTAATCATGTGACCAGCTCAGTGGGATGTGTTTTAATCATGTGACCAGCTCAGTGGGATGTGTTTTAATCATGTGACCAGCTCAGTGGGATGTGTTTTAATCATGTGACCAGCTCAGTGGGATGTGTTTTAATCATGTGACCAGCTCGGTGGGATGTGTTTTAATCATGTGACCAGCTCGGTGGGATGTGTTTTAATAATGTGACCAGCTCAGTGGGATGTGTTTTAATCATGTGACCAGCTCGGTGGGATGTGTTTTAATCATGTGACCAGCTCAGTGGGATGTGTTTTAATCATGTGACCAGCTCAGTGGGATGTGTTTTAATCATGTGACCAGCTCGGTGGGATGTGTTTTAATCATGTGACCAGCTCAGTGGGATGTGTTTTAATCATGTGACCAGCTCAGTGGGATGTGTTTTAATCATGTGACCAGCTCGGTGGGATGTGTTTTAATCATGTGACCAGCTCAGTGGGATGTGTTTTAATCATGTGACCAGCTCAGTGGGATGTGTTTTAATCATGTGACCATCTCGGTGGGATGTGTTTTAATCATGTGACCAGCTCAGTGGGATGTGTTTTAATCATGTGACCAGCTCAGTGGGATGTGTTTTAATCATGTGACCAGCTCAGTGGGATGTGTTTTAATCATGTGACCAGCTCAGTGGGATGTGTTTTAATCATGTGACCAGCTCAGTGAGGTGTGTTTTAATCATGTGACCAGCTCAGTGGGGTGTGTTTTAATCATGTGACCAGCTCAGTGGGATGTGTTTTAATCATGTGACCAGCTCAGTGAGGTGTGTTTTAATCATGTGACCAGCTCAGTGGGGTGTGTTTTAATCATGTGACCAGCTCAGTGGGGTGTGTTTTTAATCATGTGACCAGCTCAGTGGGGTGTGTTTTAATCATGTGACCAGCTCAGTGAGGTGTGTTTTAATCATGTGACCAGCTCAGTGGGGTGTGTTTTAATCATGTGACCAGCTCAGTGAGGTGTGTTTTAATCATGTGACCAGCTCAGTGGGGTGTGTTTTAATCATGTGACCAGCTCAGTGAGGTGTGTTTTAATCATGTGACCAGCTCAGTGGGGTGTGTTTTAATCATGTGACCAGCTCAGTGGGATGTGTTTTAATCATGTGACCAGCTCAGTGAGGTGTGTTTTAATCATGTGACCAGCTCAATGGGGTGTGTTTTAATCATGTGACCAGGTCAGTGGGGTGTGTTTTAATCATGTGACCAGCTCAGTGAGGTGTGTTTTAATCATGTGACCAGCTCAGTGGGGTGTGTTTTAATCATGTGACCAGCTCAGTGAGGTGTGTTTTAATCATGTGACCAGCTCAGTGGGGGTGTGTTTTAATCATGTGACCAGCTCAGTGAGGTGTGTTTTAATCATGTGACCAGCTCAGTGGGGTGTGTTTTAATCATGTGACCAGCTCAGTGAGGTGTGTTTTAATCATGTGACCAGCTCAGTGGGGTGTGTTTTAATCATGTGACCAGCTCAGTGAGGTGTGTTTTAATCATGTGACCAGCTCAGTGGGATGTGTTTTAATCATGTGACCAGCTCAGTGGGGTGTGTTTTAATCATGTGACCAGCTCAGTGGGGTGTGTTTTAATCATGTGACCAGCTCAGTGAGGTGTGTTTTAATCATGTGACCAGCTCAGTGGGATGTGTTTTAATCATGTGACCAGCTCAGTGAGGTGTGTCTTAATCATGTGACCACCTCACTGAGGTGTGTTTTAGTCATGTGACCAGCTCAGTGGGGTGTGTCCTAATCATGTGACCAGCTCAGTGAGGTGTGTTTTAATCATGTGACCAGCTCAGTGGGGTGTGTTTTAATCATGTGACCAGCTCAGTGGGGTGTGTTTTAATCATGTGACCAGCTCAGTGAGGTGTGTTTTAATCATGTGACCACCTCATTGAGGTGTGTCTTAATCATGTGACCAGCTCAGTGAAATTTTTGGTCATCTGACTGGTCCGTCCAGCAGAATATAAATCGTACACCAGTGACGTAATACAGTCAGCTCTCTTACAAACCTCTCTGTATTGCAACTTTTCGTAAAAGAGATTGAAAAAAATACATCCACAATTGAAAAGCGCATGGAAAGGCATTCACAGTACCCGCTCTTCAATATTAGATGCACTTTTTTTTACAATAGCATTTACCAATAATTTCACTAAATAAAGGAGCTTTTTAAGAGAGTTGCAGGCTGAAATATATTTACGACACTTTAACAAAGAAACTGTTGGCTGTTGGGCCAGAACTCCTTGTTTATTGTAATCTGTAAATAGCATTTCGCAACTTCATATTTAGTTTCTCACACATTTACTAATTAATTCTGAAAATTTGTTGTCAAACAATTTTTTGTATTTACTATTTAATTTGCTTTTGATTTGGTTCTGATGTACTTTTATTTAATTTTCTTTTCTGGTATTTCTTTCTTCTTGTGGCCTCATAATATTATGGTACTCTGGTATGTGTGTACTTGAAGACTATTAGCAAGAAATATTGCTTAAAGTTTCCTTCGGAGTATATGCTACACCGATGTGTGTATCTCTGTGAATATCGTGAATATCCACTCACAGTTTACTTTAACCTCCATTTTAGGGATCAATATAATCTTGAACGCCAGTGTACAGGTAACTTGCAGTGTTACTGGCCCTCCGTATTGTCGATACGTTTAGAATTTAACAAACTAGGTTTCCACTTTTGAGCATACTGGAATAAACTGAACCGTCTCGCACACATAAATAAAAATGTATATTAAGCCAACATGATTATCGCTAAATTGTGGTCTGCGCCGGACAAGCGGATCATGGGGTCAAACAAGTCGTGCCCTCAGTAATTACTGCATGAACTGCGTGTCCAATCAACACCTCGACGACAAAAGAAGATTGTTCTCAGTCGTAATAATTTATATATTTATGTAATATTTTAAATGGCTTGGGCAAATTTTAATGATGATACAAGGTCGGTTTTAGGCTCATTGGAAAATGAAGTAGATTATCAATTTCTTAAGGGAAAACGTGTTGTGGTTGCGGATGACTGGTGTTGAGGAACACGGGAAGATAATCTAGTGAAAGACTCTGCTGAGAGAAGAGGAGAGAGGAGAGATGAGAGGAGGAGGAAGAGAGAGAGAAGGGGATGAAACAAATTGTTTAAATGAGATATTTTTTTGAAGAAAAATTTTTATTACAAAAAATGTACATCAATAGTGTGCTGGTACATTAACAGTGGTTACATTGTGGCAATAAAAGCTAGTTATGGCGAATAAGACACCTAGGTATCTTCAATGTACATAAGTCTCACTTATCGCTTTGTATTATATACCGTTTACAGTGTAATAATAAGCTAGAGATGTTTTCCCTGTCATACTCTGTCACAGGATGGGTTGCATACATGATGTTAGGGAATCTGTCAACCAGACCTGTCCTCTCCTTTCTAATGGTGACAGCTGGTGACTGCTTTATATATTATGATTATAGTTAAAATACCCGACACACACACACACACACACACACACAGAGGCAGACAGACAGACACACACACACACACACACACACACACACACACACACACACACACACACACACACACACACACACACACACACACACACACACACACACACACACACATATGAAAGAAAAATACTAAACGAGTGAAATGTTCATCATTAAATCTTATGTCACCTTGTGAGACTAACCTGCAATCTTTGCATTTTGGCTAAGATGAGGCATGACAAGCGCAGAGACTCGACTGACTACAACACTGATCTCTTGATAAGGATGGAGCGATGAATATTTTCCATCACGTGCTACTCCACTTCCTGAATCGTTCATTATGAGTGGATTATTGAGAACCGTTACTTATGAATCTAAATAGGAGGAATTTAAAGAATAAGATAACACAATACCGTGACTGGAACAATACACAAATAACCCGTACATAGGAGACTGAAACT